GCAATCTGAGATGGAGACACCAATCATGACCACAGAAGCAGCCCAAGGGAGAGGAAATGGCAATACGGATGAAGAAGGGGGCATATTAAAGAGCAGCAGAACCATGGAATAATGAATGGGGCTAAAGATTTCTCAGAGCAGCTCACTTGGAAGGCAAAGAGATAGTGAATGAGCAAGGCTGTACACATGAAGACCTGGCCTTTTCAGGAACATAACCTCAAGGCAAGAGGGTTTACCGAAGGTTCTTATGCAAATAGCTAAGGTAGAGTGAAATCACTGGAGCAAGCAGAGTTCTTCTGCCACCCCTTTTTTGCTTTATTTTTATAGGAGATCCTACCATCTATATGGCCTCCTGAGTATTTAAGGTCTTGCACTACCATGTCCAGCTCATTGACTGAGATGGGATCTCACTGTTTGCCTAGTCTGGCCTTGAACCACTATCCTTTCCTATCTCCATCTACCAAGCAGCTGGAGGCTGAACCACTGCACCCACCACAAAAAAAGCATTCATGAAAGAAGTGGTCAGCAAAACTGGCAGCACACCATCAGTGGCTTATAGTTCAATCACCCACTAACCTAAAGATACTGAGTCTAGCTACATTACCTCCAGGAGGCCTTGTCATTTCCACCCTCCTCTCTTGTCTTTCTAGGCCAAGTTACTCCATGCTCTTCTGGACTACATTTTAGTAGCCTAGGTCCTAACTTGGCCTTTTTGCATCTGCTTCTGTCCTTCCCAGTAGTGTGCAAACTCCTGTCTGAACCTCCCAGGTAGTCCCACCAAAACACCTGAGGAAACCCACACTCTCCTCACCAAGCCCTGTCAGCCACACAGAGCAGCCCCACTGGCCTGCATCCTGGTCAGTTGAGGGGCTTGAACTCTGGGCCTGGGCACTGTCCCTGAACTCTTCAGTGCAAGGTGAGCATTCTACCACTTGAGCCACAGCGCCACTTCTGGTTTTCTGGTGGTTAATTGGAGATCAGAGTCGAACGGACTTTCCTGCCCAGGCTGTCTTTGAACCACAATCCTCAGATCTCAGCCACCTGAGTGGCTAGGATTACAGGCGTGAACCACTGGCACCTGGCTTCAGATCTTTTCCACTTCCTCACAAATGTTCCTCACTCTGTTTAGAACTTTCCTCCTCCCTATTATTCCTCCCCCTACTTCCTGTCATCCTATCATTCCTCACCTGACTCTCATCAGAATCCTGCCTAAATGTCACTTTCCCAGGAAAGCCTGAATCTAGAACATTCTCATGGCACTCTGTACTGTCCTGTAAAGGAACTGACCAAAGTGCATAGGACCCCAGGTGAGTTTATTAACAAAGTACAGGTCTCTCCTACCTGGAAAAGTTTATAGGGACAGGGACTGAGACTAAGTCTGTTTATCTTGTGCTGGGCTTGGTGCCTAACACAGAGCAGGTACACAATCAACTACCAAGGCCATATGGTTATGATGAAATGAGATGTTCTCTGTAAAGCATCCAGCACAGAGTCTGGAACATAGGGGCACTAGGTCACCCACAGCTCTAACAGGAGCAAAGTACCTGGGTGGCAGAAAAGAAACTCTGTTCACTCTGCCATAATGCTGCCAGAAAGCAGCCTTCCAAGTTTCCCATGGAGAAAAGAAAACAACTGCCTAGTGACAATCCTCCAGGAGGCTCACACAAGGATCCACAGTAGGACTGCCAGTGCTACTGTTTGCAACCAAAGCCTGATCCAGAGAGGAGACATCCCAGGAGACAGGACCTGCCCTGACAAGTTTCCTTGTAACACTGGAAGGGCCACCCCACAGGGCTAACCCCAGGGCTTCCCTGGCCCAGATCAAGGGTGATTTTTTTCATTCTATAGCCTCTTCTAGGATGAAAGAGTGCTGTCTGCCATCACTTTTGAATGCTAAAGCAGCAGCCTGAAACTAACCCCACTCAGCAATCCAGGCTGGCTGCCAGGGTAACAGGACAGATGCTTCCCACAAGTCAATGGGCTCAATGCACCTACATGTCTCATTTCTTTTTTCTTTTCTTTTCTTTTTTTTTTTGTCTCCTGGGCCCTGTCCCTCAGCTCTTCAGCTCAAGGCTACTGCTCTACCACATGAGTCACAGTGCCACTTCCGGGCTTTTCTGTTTATGTGGTGCTGAGGAATCGAACCCAGGGCCTCATGCATGCAAGGCAAGCACTCTACCACTGAGCCACCTTCCCAGCCCCTTCATGTCTCATTTCTTACACCTGCTGATGGTGGGGAGGAATATGATGATTTTTTTTTTAATTTATTGAGAAGGCCTCACTGTTTAGTCCAGCTGGATTGGAATATGTTACCCAAATGGGCCTGGAATTCGTGATACTTCTGCTTTAGACTTTTATGTGCTGAGATTCCCAATGTGCATCACCACCACCACACTGGGCCCTTGTTGAGTTCTTTTACTTGCCTGTAACTCCTCACTGATACCTGGATGTCCACAGGCTCCTCCTCAGAGAGGATTAAACTCTATTTACCTCTATTCTTCCTGTATGCTAGGCCTCATTTATACATTCAGCTCCAGGTGACCTGCAGACAATGGCACAAATGGTCCTTGCCATTTACTAGAGATTTAGATTTTCTAGAATGAAAGGGTCTGGAAAGAAAAAGCTGCCTCTTCAACTCAGAGCAGGTTGCATCTCTAAGAGAGAAGCACGTTCTCCACATTCAGTGATTGTTGCTCTTTAGTCTGCAGCTCCTGCTCCAAAAACATACACTGAACCCCATTTCTGTACAGTCAGGTGATTACTGGTTTCAGGCAGTGAAGAGGAATGGCGGGGAGGGGGCTGTTCTCCCAGGCAGACCTAACAATTTCTTTCTAATGGAGCCAGGAAATCCTACTGTAGATGTGCAAATTCCAACAATATCTAGAGTGATTGTTCAGTGATATGCTCAACATTCTTTGCAAAACAATAAGAACCAGGTGTTAGTGGCTCATGCTTGTAAGCCTGTTATTCAGGAAGCTGAGATCTGGGTATTGTGGTTCAAAGCCAGCCTGGGCAGCAAAGTCTGATAGACTCTTATCTCTCATTAACTACCAAAAAAAACTGGATGTGAAGCTGTTGCTCAAGTAGTAGAGCACTAGTCTTGAGCAAAGAAGCTCAGAGACAGCATCTAGGACCTAAATTCAAGCCCTAGGACCAGCACCAGAAGAAAAAGAAAATTCTAGCTATATAGAAGGACAAGATCTTAGGATCTCAGTTTGAAGCCAGCCCAGGCAGACATATCCTCAAGATTCTTCTTTCCAATTAACTATCAAAAAGCCAGAAATGGAGCTGTGACTCAAGAGGTAGAGCATCAGCCTTGAGCAAAAAAGCTAAAGGACAGTACCCAGGTCCTGAGTTCAAGCCCTAAAACCAGCACCAAAAATAAATAAATAACTAAATTAACAGAACAGTTTACACAAAAATACATTTTGAAGCCAGATGCCGGTGGCTCACGCCTATAATCCTAGCTATTCAGGAAACTGAGATCTGAGAATCATGGTTCAAAGGCAGCTAGGGCAGGAAAGTCCACGAGACTCTTATCTCCAATAAACTACTAGAAAACCGGAAGTGGTGCTGTGGCTCAAGCAGTAGAGCACTCCCCTTGAGCTAAAGAGCACAGGGACAACACCCAAGCCCCACAACCAACCAAAAAAAAAAAAGATTTTGACCCACAAAAGGATAAAATATGACCAAACACCAAACAAAAATGAACTAGCTAACTAAGAAACTATTAATGATGTTGAGCATGGTGGCATACAACTGTAATCCCAGCACTTAGGAGGCTGGGACAGGAGGATGTCAAACTGAAATATAATGTAAAACTTCAAAAAGTGAACAGATATATGCAATTTCTGGCTTAGAAGACTAAATTGTCGGTAAGGTTGATATTAAATAAAATCTATGCTAATGTAATATCCTCTGACACAGGTTTGATAGGATAATTTTTTTTTAAAGGTAAATTTCTAGTGACATCCAAAATGCCAGCCAAATGTGAGGACTAGGGCTAGGAATGTGGCTTAGTGGTAGAGTGCTTGCCTAGGATACATGAAGCCCTGGGATCAATTCCTTAGTACCACAAAAACAGAAAAAGCTGGAAGTGGCCTGGGAAGGTGGCTCAGTGGTAGAGTGCTTGCCTTGCATGCATGAGGCCCTGGATTCGATCCTCAGTACCACATAAGCAGAAAAAGCCGGAAGTGGTGCTGTGGCTCAAGTGGCAGAGTGCTAGCCTTAAGCTGAAGAGCTGAGGGACAGTGCCCAGGCCCAGAGTTCAAGCCCCACAACTGGCCAAAAAACAAACAAACAAACAAAAAGTTATTACTAGGCTGAAGGTATGGCTCAAGTGGTAGAGTACTTGCCTACAAAGTGCTGAGTTTAAAATCAATACCACAAGAGAAAGAGAAAAAGAGAAAGAGAGAGAGAGAGAGTTTTTTATTTTTGTCAGTCGTGGGCCTGAACTCTGGGCCTGGGCACTGTCCCTCAGCTCTTCAGCTCAAGGCAAGCACTCTACCACTTGAGCCACAGCGCCACTTCCGGCTTTTTCTGCTTATGTGGTGCTGAGGAATCAAACCCAGGGCCTCATGCATGCAAGGCAAGCACTCTACCAGTGAGCCACATTCCCAGCCCTGAGAGAGAGATTTTTTTTTTTTTTTCAGGTAAGGGGTAGGTTTATTTAGTGGACCTGCTGGGACCAGGAGAGGTGGGCACTCCACGCGGCAAAAGACCGAGAGAGAGAGATTATTAAAGTCTCTAAACAGTTAAGGCCACTACTACTCTCTGCCCACCAATCACACTCCAAAAACCCAAATAACCTTCATCTCAGTCAATGGACTCCTCGAAATGAGAAGCAGCAGTTGCAAAATGGCCTGTACTGCTATCTTTTTCTCCAGTGGCTTGGCTTAATATAAGTACCCTGCAAATAAAATCCTCCTGAGTCTCTGAGCTGCCACCATGATACTCATGGAACAGGAGAGACCAGGAGAACAGAGTTCTCTTAAACTCACCGGGAAGTCTGTTCATGTTGACTCCTTGAGCTGAGAGTCCTATTCCCATGTACCTTCAAAAAAAGCACAGACAAAATTTTTGGTTATCAAATGAGTATTCCATCTCCCTTCTCAAATATTTCTTGGTAAAAGACAAGAAAAATGGTAAAAGGGCTGGGAAGGTGTCTCAGTGGTAGAGCGCTTGCCTTGCATGCCTGAAGCCCTGGGTTCGATTCCTCAGTACCACATAAGCAAAAAGAAAAAAAAGCCGGAAGTGGCGCTGTGGCTCAAGTGGTAGAGTGCTAGCCTTGAGCTAAAGAGCTGAGGGACAGCGCCCAGACCCAGAGTTCAGGCCTCACGACTGGACTCCAAAAAAAAAAAAAAAAAAAGGTCAAAAGTAATGAATGCAGCCTCTTCTGACATACTAGTTGCACTTGGAAAGCCCTTACATTCTGATTTCTCATGAAAAGAGTTCTTAATGTTTTGAAGCTAAAGACACACAAGGTAGTGTATAACCATGACCCCACTGGCTTTAGCCAGAGTACCATATATTGAAATCATGACTTCCAGCTTCCTGGCTTTCTTGCTCCAGCTAAAAAAGTAAAATCTATTCTTAAGATAGAACTAAAGTTAAGTACTTCAATCCTAGGTAGTGAATGACAAGAGAAATGAAAACTCAAACTTACTGTTCAGCCAGGTGCTGGTAACACACAACTGTAATCCTAGCTACTCAGGAAGCTAAGATCTAAGGTTCAGGGTTCAAAAGCCAGACTGGGCAGGAAAATCCATAAGACTCTTATCTCCCCAGTTAATCACCAAAAAGCCAGAAGTAGAGCTGTGGTTCAAGTGGAAGAGTGCCAGCATTGAGCAAAAAAGAAAAGCTAAGGGATGGTGCTTAAGCTCTGAATTCAAGCCCCAGTATTAGAACACACACACACACACACAAAAGAAGTCTGGAGGTATGACTCAAGTGGTAGAGCACTTGCCTAGTATGTGCAAAGCCCTGCACATCCCCAGGATAAACAAACAAACAAAAAGAGCAAAAGACTTGACAGGAGAACCTCTAAACAAGGTACACAAATGGCCAAGAAGAGCTGGGATGTAGCTCAGTGGCACAGCGCTTGCCTAGCAAGTGCAACGTCCTGGGTTCGATCCCCAGTACCAAAAAAAAGAAAAGACACAAATGGCCAAGAAGCACATAAAAAGATATTCAACTAATCATAAGGGAAATGCAAAGCAAAACCATAGTGAAATACCATACTCAAGAATGTGATGGGAGGGGCTGGGAAGGTGGCTCAGTGGTAGAGCACTTGCCTTACATGCATGAGGCCCTGGGTTCGATTCCTCAGCACCACATAAGCAAAAAAGAAAAAAAAATGGAAGTGGCACTGTGGGCTGAAGTGGTAGAGCGCTAGCCTTGAGCTGAAGAGCTAAGGGACAGCGTCTAGGCCCAGAGTTCAGGCCCCACGACCGGACCCAAAAAAAAAAAAGAATGTGATGGGAAATGGTGCTGTGGCTCAAGGTAGAGCACTCGCCTTAAACTGAAGAAACCAGGGACAGTGCCCAGGACCAGAGTTCAAGCCCCATGACGGATAAAAAAAAAAAAAAAGTGGGCTGGGCAGGTGGCGCAGTGGTAGAGTGCTTGTCTTCCATGGATGAGGCCCTGGGTTCAATTCCTCAGTACCACATAAGCAGAAAAGGCCGGAAGTGGCTCAAGTGGTAGAGTGCTAGCCTTGAGCTGAAGAGCTGGGGGACATCTGTGCCCAGGCCCAGAGTTCAGGCCCCACAACCGGCAAAAAAAAAAAAAAAAAAAAATGCCAGTATCTTTGGGCTGGGAAGGTGGCTCAGTATAGAGTGCTTTCCTTGCATGTATGAGGCCCTGGGTTCGATTCCTCAGCACCACATAAGCAGAAAAGGCCAGAAGTGGTGCTATGACTCAAGTGGTAGAGCGCTAGCCTTGAGCTGAAAAGCTCAAGGACAGTGCCCAGGCCCAGAGTTCAGGCCCCATAACTGACAAAATAATAATAATAATAATATGATGATGATGATGAAGAGGAATGAAAAACTCAAACTTAAACAGGTTCTCCTGGACCCATGCTGCAGGGTCTTCATATCTAAAGAGCCAGAGGTACAACAGGAGGAGCTGATTCGCACCAACTTGTCTGGTGATCTCAGGAGGCACTTGGAAATGACTGAGCTTTCCAGAGCTGGTGGGTCCTTGCTAAAGTTGAGTAATTCAGTAAAAACAGGTGTGGTAAATTTCTCTTTAGAGAGCCCTAGAGGTCATTCACGATTTCCAAAGAGAGCCTCTGTGTTAGAACAGTGCTAAGGACAGGAGAGTGGGGTGCTGGATTCAGTCCTCCAAAATGTCAAGTCAGGGGTGAGCTAGAGAGCCAGGGTTCACTGCTTCAAAGCTAAGGGTTCCCTGAGGAAGTAAAAGTTAAGACGTGGTGAAGGAGGTGGGAGAAAAAAAGAAGTATGTGCCATGCAGAAGCAGCAGTATGGCAAGGCATACAGGCAAGGAAGCTGCCACACAGGGGAAGAACTGAGATCAGTATGGCTGGGTTACAGGATGGGCAGACCTAAAAAGAGCCAAAGCTGGGGTAGGAAATGAAACTGTGAACACATAGTCTACATGCTAGCTGAAGGAGTCTGAACTTCATGGAACATCAATCGGAAGCCACAGAGAGGTGTAGCAAAGGCACAGTTGACCAAATAGCTGATATGGGGGAAATGGATTGAAGAAGCAAAACCGAACTTTACCATCATCCCTGTGGAAAATGAATGACAACTGTTAGAAAAGGCCAGGAGCAGCAGGGACACAGTGATGTTGAGAAAGCTAAGCTCACTTTACAACACAGTAAACAACTGGACGTTGGTGGCTCATACTTGCAATCCTAGCTACTCAGGAAGCTGAGACCTAAGGATCTTGAAGCCAGTCTGGGCAGGAAAGCCCATGAAACTCTTACCTCCTAGTAACTACCAAAAAAAGCCGTAAGTGTAGTGGTAGAGTGCTATCCTTGAGCAAAAAAGCTCAAGGAGCCGGGTGCCAGTGGCTCACGCCTGTAATCCTAGCTACACTCAGGAGCCCGTGATCCGAAGATTGCAGCTCAAAGCCAGCCTGGGCAGGAAAGTCCATGAGATTCCTATTTCCAGAAAACTGGAAGTGGAACTGTGGCTCTAGTGGTCAATTCTCTGAGATCTACTTGGACATTTTAGAGCCAAGATGCTCAGCTGGAGTCAGAGGCACCATTTCCCCAGTTCTGTTCCAGCCCTAGTATTGATGCCATACATAAACATCTGGATGAGAAATATCCCTGCAAGGCGTAAATATACTGCACATTCCCAGATTCAAATTTCACCTCTGTTCCCAAATGCACCATGGGCCCATGGTCCATCACCTGTTCTGTTTCATCAGCAATTACCACAAGTCCAGAGACACCTCAGTACAGTCACTTACAGATTCAGACAATGGTGTAACTGGACTGGTGCTAGGGAGGGCTAAGGACTACACTGCTCACTGTATTATGCATTGTAGGCTCTTCCAGCAGTAGAATCTAGTAAAGTAGTCCAAAATTCTCAAAAGCCTAATCTTAGTACATCTAAAAACAAATGCCTGTTTACCTGGGATTGCTAAGGAAAAGAAACTGAGTATTCACTTCCTTGTTGGTAATGAGCCAGGCTATGCTAAGAACACAAAGGATACAGGCTGCCTTGGGGCAATCTGGAAAGAAGGAAGGAAGCAAGGGTTCCCATTTCCTAAGCAAAAGACAGGACAGAGATAGAGCAGATTAGCTCCCCAACACTTCACTTCTGGGCTTGCTTTTCAGGGAGCAGGATATATCTGAAGAGATTTGAAGAGGAAGTACTTACCCCCATAGTGTAAGTGCTCTAATCTATCTTTTTTTTTGGCCAGTCCCGGAGCTTGAATTCAGGGCCTGTGTACTTTCCCTGAGCTTCTTTTGCTCAGGCTAGCACTTAGGCCATAGTGCCACTTCTGGCTTTTTCTATGTATGTAGTACTGAGTAATCAAACCCAGGGCTTCATGCGTGCTAGGCAAGCACTCTACCACTAAGCCACACTCCCAGCCCTCTAATTCTTCTTCTATATAAGGGCAACATAGAAGAGGAAATATCACTTGTCAGACAGGTGAGACAGTCAGGAAGTATAAAGGAAGAACAGATAAGCTCCTTATGGCAGCAAAGCCAAGAGTTATCCTTTAACATCTCAGTTTCCACCCTTCACTACCAAAACCACAATGCAAGCTAGAGATACAAGAAAAGTCACTTAGCCACCTGTGTGGCTCCATAAAGAAGAGGACAGACAGCAAGCAGGCATTGTGTAGGCCACACTAAGTAGAAACCCACCAGACAGTGACTTGGAAGAGTAGTTCCATCCATAAGGAGGCAGCCAAGGCCCTCAGCCAAACACCAAAAGCAGGTGATTGGCAACCCCAAAAGGTCCACACTGAAGGTCCTACCATCCACTGTCAAGCAGCAAAGGGTCAAACTAGGGCCCTAAAAGAGGACTGCCTTAAGATGTGTGCTGGTGGCTCGCTACTCAAGAGACTGATATCTAAGAATCACAATTTGAAGGCAGCCTGGGCAGGAAAGTCCTATGACTCATTTTCAATTAAGCACCAAAAAAGCCAGAAAATGAGGCTGACTCCTGACACACAGGCTGCCCAGCACACACCTGCCCCTTTTACCAGATAAGCAGCAGTCTGCTGAACCTCAAGTCACATGGAGACACACAAGTTCACTTGTCAACTTGGATTCTTTTTCTTCTAGTTTTCTATAATTAACACTAATTGCATGAGTTTTTTGTTTTTGCTTTTTTATTTTGTTTTGAGACAGGACCCTACTATGTAGCCTAGGCTGACTTCCAATTCACAACCCTCCTGCCTCAGCCCCCTATGTGCAAGGTCTACAGATGTGTACCATTATATCCAGCCCTGAATTACTTTCACAGAAAAATCACTTTAGCTTTTTGGGTTTTTTTTTTTGGTGGTACTGGGATTTGAGCTCACAGCTTCATACTTGCTAGGTAGGTATTATACCACTTGAAGCATGCA